TACATCTTTGCCCTAGTGTGCGCTTATCGTTTAGGTTTATTGCTGGTTTATTCCCCCAGTTGGCACGTGATCTAATTTCGTTTGAGCTGATCGAAACCAGTGTTACTTCCGTTGCTCTTTCCCCATATGATTGTACAGGTCTGACGAGGAATTCATCGAAAACAGTTGTTTATCTTCGCTGCCTTGTTCTTGATGACTAAATGGGAATTTTCCGGTTACTGAAATCGTCCAAGCCGCCCTCAGTGGTGAAGAAGATAAACCAGTTCCTTAAGTTCTCCACTAGGCTTGCCGAAGCTAAAAGTAGCGTTCAATTTTTCAATGATTGCATTGAACGCAATGAATATCCTAGCAGATTCTGGAAGCAAGTATGCCGCAGTCGGATCTATCCTAACTCCAAAACGCCTAGACGGCATGCTTTGAACCAGCGTGACACGGTACAATCCAAAATTGCCGAATTCGAGAGCAATATGGCGCAGTGCCAGCATGCGATTGATGAGTTAACGTTGGACGTACAACAAACATACCTGGAATACGTTCAGTCTATCACCGCAAACCGTGTACGACAAAGGCGTTTGGCGTTAACAAAGACGTTGAACCAGGTTAAGCCTCAATCTACTTTCCCAAGTAGACCTGACAGGTACGTGCATAACTTTTCAAGCCTGAACTTGAACTCTAGTTTAATGGAACTTCTATCACTTGGTCTAAAATTTTGCGCCCCCAGACACAGAGATAATCAGCTACACTCTGAGTTACAGTTTGAAAGCCTATTTCTTCAAACAAAAGGGTTAGCAGCAAAGTCTAATGAGGACTTGGAACGCTGCAAATGTTCTCTGGTGAACAATTGCTATCAGTATCGTAAGTGCCATGTTCAAAATCATGGTCCATTGACACGCAAGTACTTTGATGCACTGAAGGATTTAAGGCGCAATGACAAGATCTTTCTGAGCAAACCGGACAAAGGCACTGGGGTCGTTCTATTGGACAAAGACGACTATATAAACAAGCTAGAAAGAATTCTGAGTGATGAAACAAAATTTTCCCGAACAATTGGAGAAAAGGATCAAACGGAGCGAACCGAAAAGCAGATTACTAAGAGCTTGCAAGAGCTTCGGAATAGCGGATACGTCTCAAACACTCTTTTTGACAGCCTCAAACCGAGTGTCACGAATGTTGCGAGGCTTTACGGGCTACCTAAAATTCATAAGACTGATGTCCCACTTCGCACAATTTTACCAATGGTTAATTCATCGTACCATGCTGTTGCCCAATGGCTTGTGAAAATTCTTGAGCCAATAAGACAGCAACTTACACATTACAGCGTTCGTGACACTTTTCATTTCATCGAAAGTGTCAGGGACCGCAACATCAGTAAGAAAATAATGTTTTCCTTGGATGTTGTCTCGCTTTTCACCAACGTCCCACTTCTCGAGACAATTCGGCATGCCTGTAAAATGGTATAGTGTGTGAGTAATCGATAGACATACAAACACGCGCACATGTAGGTGCAATCAATGATGGGTGTGAACATCTGAGTGGCGATAGTGACTTAGACACCTCACCAAAACACTCAAGGAGAAGATGAAAAGAGTCTACTTCAGCGCTATTCAAAAACCCTGACAGTCGCACAGCCCAGTTACGTGATGGGCCGCCCATATATATCATCAGCCTATTGTTGACGCGGCATGGATGGTTGCAAGCGTTGAGCTGGAGGAAGTTGGTGGATGCGATGAAAAGCAGAAGTTTGACAAAGTGAACCTCGAGATGCTCTTGAACACGCTGAGGATTTGCGGTGTTGGTGGCTCACTGTACTACTGGACCAGCATTGGACGAAAATGGATGGTACATGTGGATGAACGTCTAACGGACTGGTACCTTCCTAAGAGTGGCGTAGCCAAAGGTACACTACTGGGATACCCATTTTGTTCATGATTCACATGAACGAAGTATCACAGTTTCATCGGACGTCTTGTGCTTTGTTTGCAGACGACCTGAATATTTAGAGGGGAATTTATGCTCCCGACGACTGCGACGTTATTTCGCAGGACCTCGACCGTCTGTCCATGTGGTCTGTGTCCAACCGCTGCATCTTCTGTGAAAGACCTAGGTGTGCTCTCACGCTGCGATTTGAAGTCGTGAACTACACGAAAAGGCTTTAGGGAAAACGGACTGTGTGCACTTTGGGCACTCAAACTCCTGCATTTGGTCGGAAGAGATTGGCATTTACTACTTCTCTTTCATAAGCCCAATGCTACAGCATGGCTCATCAGTCTATTGTCCGATCACACGCGGTGAGGTGCAAAAACTGATACGTGTTAAGCACGTGACTACCAAACTCATCCCCAATTTGCGGGGTATGTCTTATGAATACCGATGCAGGAGACTAGGGCTGTACACAATGTCGCATCATCGGTTATGGCTTGAATTCATAATGATGTACCGCACATTGAAACCGGGCCACTACTGCCCATTCGCGCACCAAGCAGCACTCGCGGACACCGGTATAAGCCCCCATGCGAGATCCGAAACTCTAAGCCTCTATGGTTAGAGGGTCGATTGGTGACAAATCGGAACACTTTGCCCCAATAATCGAGGCAAAATCGGTGTCAGAATTTCAACAATTTTTAGATGCCCCATTTCGCGGATTTCAGATTTAGGGAGCGCATCGCACCCAAACAGCAGTTGTATTATGCTGCAAACGCGAAGAATGAGGAACGTGATTCCGCGCAAGTGCATGATACAACTATGCCTGCATTGAAAACATCTTCACCTTGCGTCAGTTGTTGGAGCACCGTCACATATATTGGCGGCCCACCGTTGTCATGTTCCTCGATATCAAAGGTGCATTCGATTCGGTGGATAGACATGCACTTTGGGACTGTCTACTCAGGAAAGGTGTGCCTGAGAAATATGTAAATATTATCGGAGCATTATATGCACGTAGCTCGGGCAGAGTGAGGGCTTACGGCAAGTTGTCGTCGCCCTTTGATATCTCCAGCGGCGTGAGACAAGGATGCCCGCTGTCACCTTTCCTCTTCAACTTCGCTGTTGACGAAGTTATGGAGTTTGCATTCACAGGACATGACTTGGAAGGTGTGGATCTGCTCGCAGGAGAACGACTTCTTGACTTAGAGTATGCTGATGATATTGCCCTAATCTGTGACAGCTCCCAGACGTGCCAAGCGGCACTGGACAGATTAGCATTGGCTGTCCGTCACTTCGGGCTTTGCTTCGCACCCTCGAAGTGCAAAGCTTCTCCAAGATTGGTCTGGATCGCCTCCTTCGCTGACCCTTAGTGGGGATCAGCTAGAAGTCGTTCAGAAAGTAAACTACCTGGGAAGTTGTATCAGCGCCCGTGGGATTGAAGATGAAATCACGAATCGTATAGCAAAAGCTCGGGGCGCTTTCGCTAACCTTCGCCACTTATGGCGCCGGCGCGACATCACTCTCTCCCTGAAGGGTAGAGTGTACAATGCAGCAGCACGTTCGACCCTACTGTACGGTTGTGAAACCTGGCCGCTTAAAACAACGGACCTGAAGAGGCTAGTTACGTTCGATCACCGGTGCCTTCGTAATTTAGCTCACATTTGGTGGGAGCACCGCGTGAGCAACGAGCGTGTTCGACGCCTTGTTTATGACACAGGAAAAGGAACTGAACCGCTCAGCACCGTTATTTCACGCACCAGGCTCCGATGGCTCGGCCACGTGTTACGCATGCCAGCCCACCGACTTCCGCGACGTGCGTTGTTTGCGCGCCGTGAGTGTGGATGGAAGAAGAGGAGGGGTGGGCACGCGATGACTTGGTCGAGAGGAATGAAGGCCCTCACTTCTGAGGTGGCCTCAGTTGGAGCGTCTCGGCTCCCTGGTTGGGGTCCAAAAGACGATGAACACGTTTGGTTGGACACACTTGTTGATATGGCAAGGAGCCGACCTCAGTGGCGTTCGTGCTGTGAGTTTCTTTGTCCCACCCCATCCCTCTTAGCCTCCCCCTCCAACCACGATCTCATTATTTAGCCTTATGTAATTTTGCATAGTAATTTTTTTGATGCACAGCAGCCGGCTGGTAGCTTACCGGAATGATGCCCATCCGTTACCGGTAGCTCAGCCGGCTTGCAACAGTTGCTTTTTTTATCTCCTTTTGTCTATGTATTGCGGCACAGTAGTTGAGGTGTTCCCCACCTCTAGCTAACGTGTATGATGATGATGATGATCTAAGATAGAGCAACGTTGATGTATGTGTACTAGCTCTCTAGCTTCAGTATTCAGTGGAAACAATTACCACCCTATAGGTACGGGCTAAGACTTTTCTCGCTATAGTCAAAGATCCTTGGACCATAGAAATCTGCAGCATCCTTAACGGAATCTAGTCCAAACAACACATAAACCGTTAGAAGCCTAAAGTCACCGAACCCTTTATCATTACACTTAAAGTGAAAATTATGCCTGCCCTACTTACTCTCCTTTACTTTAATCATTAACTGCTCCCGAACCTCGTTATATAGTAAATTCGAAAGCAGTGGTACAAGTATTCACATTAAAAATGCAGTGTGTGATCGGGTCACTGATCTGTGAGAAAATTTATGGTCGTAAGTATTTTTTCACTTTTTTATCCTTTATCAATCATTTTGTACACTATAGAAACCATAACACTACTTTTGGGGATGTATACCGCCCGTCGGTATTTCCTTTAGCGTTTTGAAGTCAGCCATAGGCAATAACAAATATGTTCAGGCATTAAGTAAAGAATGAAGACGGTCATCCTAAAAAAGACGATGGTCTAGTGAATTAGGAATGCAAGCAGGGACACCAACAGGCGAACTACGAGTTAACCGTTTCACAATCCGCCAGTTACTTAAATAGTCGAGATCACTATTTTTCTCAAGGGGCTTCCAGTTGCCAAGGGCGTGTCACATGAACCAGGAATCGAAATTACTTTAGTTTCCGAAAAGATCTAAACTACAGGAATGTTTAGGGAACGACGCATTTCACCATTTAATGCTCACCTGATGTCTGTACCAGTTGTCGGTGCTCAACAGCCATAGTGAACATTGGCCCATTGAGAGTGCAGAGGCCAGAATCGGCCTCGCTGGAGCACGACTGCGAAACAGGATACCCCGCAGATTGCCACGAAAAGTACACTAAACCCGGCCACCAAGTTGAATGACCAGCATCGACTCCATCGCTCGCCGCATTAAAATGTGCAGTAGACTGATGAGCTGTGAACGAAGGTGTAAAAAAAATTAAGGTAAACTGGAAAAGGAAAAGTAGTGAAATAGTCACGAAAGAGCGGCAAATTATCTAAGTTAAACAAAGCTAACCAGTGCTGATGTAGTGGTAGAAGACAGCTGTACGCAAATGTTAATGTAGGCCAAGGGCACATACAGTAGACCAAATCGCATTGGTGAGAATGAGATACACAAGCTCCGCTAAATCGTTATCCGTGCTTTAGATGTATGGAATCGCAAAAGCACGCATGACAAACGCGACAAAGTTTAATGATAAGGATGACTTTGCAAGGAATTCACAATTCAAGTGATTGTAAGTAGAAAAAGAGAGGTAACAAACTTCGTAATGCCAAAAAGTAACCGAACCAGGTTTTGTTTAGATCAAGTCAGCGCTACAGTGGAACAAAAATAGAGCTGCATAAGATAGGTATCCGGCAAAAAGGCTTCCATTAGGAAAAGTAAGTAAGTGCGGTAATTTACAGACCAAAATATCTAACATGGAGCAAAAACGGGATTGGAGTATATATATATATATATATATATATATATATATATATATATATGATAAAGGCTTTCAGTCAAAGAGTCGAAAGTGGTGGCCACATGGGATAGGCAAGTAAACCTAGCGTGTGCTACGCGAGGCTAAAAGTATGATATGCACGAACCCGTAAAAAATGTTTCAATCCTATTGCATTCCATGGTGAAATGATTCAATTCTGGACATCCATTATGAGCCGATTCCAAAAACAAGGTGACGCCGGATGCATCGAGTTGGACTAGCTCTGTGGTCGAATCGTCCGACGGTAATGCAGGCAACGTTATACGAAACTCAACTGTATCAATATCAACCTGAAGAGACAAAAATGATTGTTTCTGCACGGCTGTGGTTGCTTTCGGGTCGACATCATCATCAGCGTCGGAGCCAGAACGCGAATGAGGACTCCATCGTCGAATTCTTGGGTTCAGACGACGTGACTCTGTGTAAGATGGAAGAAAACTGATCTTCGAAACCGTAGAATTAATAAGTGCTGACCATGACAGCGAACAACCTGTCAGTGCTAATAAAACTGTACTATACCCCAGCGACATACAATAAAAATAAGTATCTTACATCGATGAAAACAAAGATCAGGATGACACGTGAACATGGCTGAGGGACTGACACAGAAGAGGCGGTTCAGCGTACTGGAAGGTGCTAGAGAGTCTACAATGATCAACTGAATATTGCATGAGGAACATAAACCTATCTACTCATGGACTCCGGAAAAGTCGAAGTCCATGAGTGAGGAAGGAAGATGTGCTCCTTTATTGTTCCGCAGAGTCAACTAGACGATTGACAGATGTACGGTGGGTTAATACTGAACTAGGAACAACGAAAAGTAATTAGAAGCCAAAACGGTCTCAAATTTGCAAGTAATATGAAATTAACTAGTTTTGCTAACTGCAGTGAAATGGCTGGAAACACCGGTAGGTTGGAGTGACTGTTCGGTTACATAGCTACACGCAGAGCTGTGTAACGCTTCATCGACAGTTGCGTTACGAATGATGGTAGAAGGCAAACTCAGTCAGTACCCAAATGTGCCTTGAGTGCGCTCGAATGTTGTACAATGAATAGTGAGGTAATTACGGGGTAAATTTAAAAGGGTAGAAAGCATAAGTCCATATTTTAAGTAGAAAAAGGTGGAGAGTGAAAAACCGAAATTTCGGTCCCTAGCTGCTGGACGCAAAACAATGACGCTCACATCAGTTGCCTTGACGAGAGCAGAGCTATTAGGAAGATACTAAAGCTAATAGAACTGTATTGAATTTTCATAAGGTTCTGGATCTCAGCAGTGAGAAGAAAGCAAAAAGCGGAACAAGATAGACAAGACCAGAGTCGAGAAAATTTCCGGCAACAAGCCAGGGAGAAGGGAGTACGGTGGATCAAACTGTTAGACCATAAGTGGCAATAGATTGTAAGATGAAAGATCAGTCAAGAGAAAAAATGCGGTAACAACTAAATTTGTAACCAAAAAGCCAGTAGTTGAAAACAAGCTGTCGAAATATGACAGTCACGGATTCACTCGTAAACAAAGCAAGGTGACCAAAAGATGAAAGTTGTGAGATGGTCTAGTTATGTACTGTGCTCTCTTCGACCATAAGTATAGAGAAATAAACAATGTAAGGTGCGGTTGAGTAGCAATACGCAGTAACGAGAGGTCTACTTTCGAAAAGAGCCGCTCACAGTCAATGACAGAGGCCACAGGCAATTTTAGAAAGCGGTTTCTCGTTACGCATGGGGATGGTCACTGTTGGAGACCAGCGATTGCTCATGCAGTTTAGTCATGTAACCTTGGGGTAAGGAAGTAGATGTTGGTACGAAACATTCAGAAACCGATGTCATCCGATGCCTAATTAACGGTAGAAATAGTTTCGGTTAGCTTCTGAGCATTGAGGCCTCTAGGTGAAGGTCAGTTCAATATCCCGTCATAATTTTAGGACGACTGCGACATGTAGATGGTCTGATAATTCTTCAGTTTTTGTATAATCAAGAGAAATGTTGTGCATATTCCACTAGAACGCCAAATTATTAGTATGCGAAGGTGTATGCGATCATTCATCGAGTTCTACTAGCTGTCGGCTCGTTCTCAAAGAAAGAACATCATTTAGTTGATTAATAGTTTGTATACCAATGTAGTTGAGATGCTAGGTCGAGTAGAGCTAATAGCTGGCATTTGTGTAAAGAATGCTGGTAGATGACCTAGTCCGGGAGATACATATTGTACTGGGAAGTACTGAAGCGAACAATGAGCAGGAGCCAAAAAGGTTAGATCCAACTCTTAGAAGTTGCATGATGAGCGCAGCGTTTCCTATTAATCAGTACAAAACAAAAACGTTTGGTGGTAAAGTCGCGTACTATCAGCCTCAGGCTGTAGTAAGCAATAATGCGATATTGTAGCAATGTGCATAAGAACAACAAACCGTTATAAAATCTTACATTTTTCGAGAATTTTGTTTGTAGGTAACTTGCACTTCCAGAAGAAAAAATCCAGAGCACGAAATAGTAGATTAGTAACGCGGTGATTTGACAGCCTCGATCAATCTAACGGTGTACTAAGACATACTGAACATAGATGTTAGGTACACGATGGAAAGAGATGCTAAAATGAAAAGTCATGCGTCGCTAAAGTAAAAGCGACGATATAATTGGTAAATACGGAATGCAACCCACCTAGAAAAAGAAAAGAAAAGGGTTGACTACCAAGTAACAAAACCGCACGGCACTCTGCGAATGACAGTGTGATTCCTAAGTAGAATCATAAAGGTAAAAGGCAGCTAGGCGGAAGCTACATTGAAATAACAAAGTAAACCCCTGAAAATAGAAGATTGGTGCTATACGAAGGCACACGCATTCGTTCAACGAAGGCAGTTACTTTGACCACAAGACAGTCTAAAAGCATACCTGCAGTTAAACACTTAACAGCGTGAACAGAAGAGATTGCGTTTCATGCTTGGGAATTCAATGCTGAGGTAGGAACAAAGTATCGGAACTCACGAAAAGAATCCAAGCCTGCATCGAACACACTGGCCTTGTCGTCGTCAGTTTCCTCCTCGTCCTCACTGTAAAACGGATGAAAATGTAAACCACTAGGATGGCGAGTGTTCGTACCCAAGCTGGTCAGCTCCAAAGCGGCTGCTTCACGTGCAGCGTCCGGGTGAGCATAGATTGAAGCTAAAGGGGCTGGATCGCTGAGGAACCAATAACGATGGTCTGACCGGAGAGCAGTGGCACCTGAGTTGGCCGCTGAACGATGGCGGGTCAGCGTAGCCCGAAGACGCCGATCGTTAGGAAGCAAGGAAGTCCATAGAAAAAGGTCATAAAAGAGCCTGATCAGGGAAGGGAAAAGAAGCCAGTGGAACTAATACATGTAATAAAGGACAGAGTGCATCTGGAGAGAAGAAATAAAAATTGTCAGCCGAAAGTAATGCAAAGACTGTTTACTTCGTAGACCAACAAGCTAAAAGTGTGGCCCATGATTCAAGGAGCAGTATCCCAACAAACATACTAGACAAGAGGCGGCAACGCAATATGCATCGGATTAGGCATACCGAAGGGCGGGAGTGAGTGACGGAGCCGAAAGTAACTGTGATGTAGATAAGCACAACAGTTGTCTGCCTGTGGCATGTGTGAAGCTGCACTAGCAAATACCGCAGTTAAAAAAGGATAATCACAATCTCGGTTCGGTAGTAGGCCTTCATCTTATGTCATCCGAAATTTCGGCCGCGCACTAGGAAGCAGAATCAAAATAGAAAACAGTAACTTTATCATTATTGACAACAAGGCAATACCGCTATGGTTATGACAAACGATACGATTGTTCTACGTTTGTACAATCCTCCTGATCTTGGCAACTCGCCTTCTATTTCGAGTCTCCAAAAGTGCATTGCAAATAAAAACGGTACCTCTGGCCTCCTCAATGAACCGCACAAAATCAATCGCACACATTCCAATACCAACAGTAAGACTGTTATTGCACCCCGCTCGTTTTTCAAGCTACTTACGTTCAATGTTCGAACGGTCATGCAGATTGGTTCACAAGATGCTCTTGCGCAAATCTTGGAAGCCCTCTCAATCAACACTTGCTGCCTAACCGTAACCCGTTTGCAAGACTCCAGCAAAACGCTGCGATTGCCCTTACCCTCCCCAAGTTCCAATTGCACATTCACCTTGCAGTCCGTTTTGAAAGCTCAGTGCGGTTTTCCAGCCATGTGACCAGTAGGCGCTGCTTATTCATTGTGGCGGCATACGCTCCAACTGACTGCAGCCCGGACGACGCTAAAGACAACTTCTAGCGCCAATTCACCGACCTCCTAAGCAAGAAACGCCGCACGGACATCATGATACTCGCCGGTGACCTAAATGCGCAGGTCGGTAGACTAGAGGTTCATGAGCGCGAACTTGGGGGTCAACACAGCCACGGTACTCGCAGGACGGACAACGGCGATCGACTCCTGCAACTGTGCGCCGACCACGGCTTGTTCCTCTCTAGCACCAATTTCCGAAGTTACTGGAGCCAACGAGCCACCTGCCGACCTCCGGCACCTGGTCATTCTTGGACGCAAATTGACTACCGTTGGCGTGGCTGCATAACGGACTACAAGGCAATATGGAACGCTTACCTGACTTCGGAACACGCGCTCATGTGTGCCAAGTTGGTTCTGCGTTTTGGAGGCACCCAACAGCGTTGCCGGAAACGGTTTGACACAGACAAGCTCGCCGTCCCAAATGTTCTCGGCGCATTTCAAAACACATTAGCCTCCAATCTATGTTCTCTATCCTCCGATGTTGAGACACATTGGATACAGATTCAGAGCGCCTTACGAAAGTCCACTACCCTGGTCTGCGGCTTCACTAGACGAGCTGTTAGTCATTGGAGCTCCGCACAGTCTCTCAAATTAATGGAAAGCCGTCGAACAATTCCCGCCGGAGTTGAATACAACCCACTATGCAGAACCACAGGTGTTGAGCTCAGACAGGAAGGATTGTGAGGTTTGGTGGACACAACGCGTCGTCGAGATGGAGCGGACAGCCTCATCAGGAAACTCCCGCAAACTCTTCCAACTTATTCGCTCCACCGGAGGCAGAAGACCAACAGTGAGTGAGGTTTTGCGTGAAAATGACGGTGAACTAATTCACGGTCGCCACCGTCGTATGGTACGATGGGCAGAGCATTGTGAAGATCAATTTAAACGGCCAGCAGCTCAACCGAGTCCATCTTCCGGAGTTCACAGTGTTCCCTGGTGCGTGGATGTTTCTCCACCGACAGATGCTGAGGTTTTCAATGAGCTTCGCCTACTAAAGCGCCACAAGTCACCTGGATCAGATGAACTTCCTCCTGCCCTGTTCAAATACGGAGGTCCAGCTCTTACTCGCGAACTGACATCTCTATTCCAACAGATTTGGACTACTGAAACCATTTAGTCCGACTGGAATTTAGCGGATGTTTAGCTGTTTACAAAAAAGAGACCGAACCATTTGCTCCAACCATCGTGGCATCAGTCTCATTTGTGTCGCATCCAAAATGCTCGCTGTCCTACTCTTACGGAGGCTCAGTTGTGTACCGGAACAGCACCTGCGTGAACAACAAGCTGGATTTCGCCCGCGTCGCGGTTGCGTCGATCACATCTTTACGATTCGCCAAATAATTGAACATCGCCATACGTTCAGTCGACCAACCATAGGTTTGTTCTTGGACATTCAATCCGCTTTTGACTCTGTCGACAGAGTGGCTCTTTGGGACTGCTTACTGAAGAGGGGAGTAGCTGAAAAGTACATCAGCATTCTCCGTGCTATTTACCATCAAACTTCGGGCCGCGTGCGAGCATACGGACATTTCGCCCCCTTTTCAGTATCATCATCGGTGTTAGACAGGGTTGCCCAGCCTCTCCTTTCTTGTTCAACTTCGCCATGGACGAGATCCTGGATACTGCCCTGGATAACTCTGTCCTGCGGTGTTGAACTGCTCCCTGGTGACCGCCTTCGGGACTTAGAGTATGCCGATGACATCGCTGTTATCTGCGAGTCCTCCCAAGCCACACAGCATGTGCTGCTCAGACTGGAGATGTCCGCCGCCCAATTTTGGTTGAGCTTTGCCTCCTTCCAAATGTGAGGTCCTATTACAGAACTGGCCAAGCGCATGTCCTTCTCTCATCCTTTCGGGGCATCCGTTGGAAATGGTCGACAATTTCATTTACCTTGGGAGTTGTTTTAGTATTGGCGGTTTGACAGATGAGATCTCTCTGTGTGTCTGCAAAACTAGAGTCGTTTTCGCTAACCTTCGTCACCTGTGGCTTCGTCGTGATCTCAGTCCCGCTCTCAAGGGACGAGTCTAAAATTCTACGGTAGGAGCGATTCTGCTGTACGGCTGTGAGACTTGGCCCGTTCGTAAAAGTATTGTTCAGCGGCTATCAGTCTTCGATCACCGCTGCCTGCGAAGCACTGCTGGTGTTCACTGGCAGCACCACATCAGTAATGAGGAAATCCGTCGGCAAGTCTTCAGATCCAACGAACTCCGCCGATCAATTGATAGCATCATGGCACTGCGCAGGCTTCGCTAGCTTGGCCATGTGCTTCGTATGCCTATCAAGCGGCTACCACGACGAGCCCTATAGCAAGCACCGGTGTGGCTTGGAAGCGACGAAAAGGAGGGCAATGTAAAACTTCGATCCAATGTGTTAAGGCGCAAACGATGAAACTGGCTGTTGTCGGGCGCTCCTGACTCCCGGGTTGGAGACCAAAGGACCCCAGGTACATCTGTTTGCAAACGCTGGAGGATATGGCCAAGGACTGCACGCAATGGCGCACTTGCTGTGAGACTCTTCTACCCTAACAGTTGTCTTCCCTTTCATGCTATCTTTATCCGCTTGTGTGCTGTGGCACTCGGCCCATTATAATGTAATTGGTATAGTGCTGAATGTATATATATATATATATATATGTATATATATATATATATGTATCACGGGGCGATTGCCATTCCTGAATACAGTCACAATGGAGCCAATCCAGTGTAGGTATGTATCTGTGTAGCTGGGTTGAAAACTGTGCCCCATGCTGAGGCTGATGTTGCATTCTTGATGCTTCTTCACCGCAGTTGGGCTAAACCAACTTACACTTAAACTAGGTCTTTTTAAGCTGGCCAAGTTTCACTCCACTTTATTTGGTTTGTTCTGCCTACCCGAATAATCTATTAACTGGCCAAGTTGCTTACACTAATTGCGCGTATCTTCGATAACTTTGTTGCGTTGGTAGCATTTTTAAGTAACTTGTGGACATTTCTTACTTATCGCGGATTCGTCGCTAACCAACTTACTTCATATGCTAATTTAGCAAAGTGTTATGCCACCGTATCTGTATGCATTATTGGATTTGTTTTATTTCATCTTGTCGTTTCAGATGATTGGCTGGTGCTTGATATCCCAGGTGTGGCTGCGCTTCATGTGCATGTTGACAAGGTGCCTACCTGTCTATTGCCCGCTACATCGTTCATACTGGCTCCAGAAGACAGTTGGTCGTTGCTGGAGGGAACGGGGTGCACGGTCCTGGTGTTCGTGCTAGGCTCGAAGAGTGGTTGCATGCAGTCAGTGTGGAGCGGACGACGGTCCAGCCACCGCCTTGGGTGCGCTTGATTCCCCAAATACAGCATGCTTGTGTTTGCCTGTGAAGAAGTGTGGGCCGTCTCCGCTGATGAAACTTGGCTCCTATCTACATACCTCCCGGTCTTATTCCTTCGGATTTACACTGGATACGAGGTGTGTGGGTGAAAATGTGGGTGGTGCAGCGCAAGCCACCCATGGTCTCTCTGTAGGCGCCAGCGTCCTGTGGGGGCGCATTGACAGGCAAATCCGGAAACGGATGCTGCCAACCATGCTAAACTCCATTGGCTGTCTGTCGGACGCGCGCTTGACACATGAAACCCACTGTGTAATATGCAATGTCTGGATGCGCTCGATGTGAATGTTGGCAAGGCGTTTACCTGTGTATTACCCTCTACCTCGATTACTGGTCTCAGGAGAATGCTAATCGTTGCCAAGGGGTGGGATACACAGTTCTTAAGACCGTGCAAGGCTCAAAGAGTGATCCATCCAGTTTAGAGCTGGCTATGACCCAGCCACCACTTTGAATGTCTGCACAGTGGAATGCGGGCGAGGGTGCAGCCGAGTGGAGAGATCACAGATGACTTTGCAGTTGTCTCTGGTGTGAACCAAGGCTGTCTTAGCTACTGCCCTGTTTAATACTTATCTTCATGCCGTGATATCTTGTGCGATTGGTATCGCTTGTGCTTACCGCGTTCTTGTTTGGTAATCTTTTGGTGGTACGCTGCTAA